TCTGGGAAGCTGGGGGCAGAGCAGCTCCAATGGTCCGGCTGTCCGGAGCACTTCCGGGTTCCTGATGGTGCCGGACCATCAGGAGTGCCAGACCAACAGGTGCCGGACCATCGGAATTTTACTGTACTGAGCTTTCATGCTACGTTTTCTTTTCCAGTGAACTGCTGAGCTCTTCATTCTGTGTTGTCAGTTACTCCTGCTAAGCTTGCAAAGCACAGACACAGCAAAGTGCATACATCCAACAATTCAAAAGTTGCAGAGCAATGTGTAAAGGAGGGAATTGTACTCTGAGGCTCCACATCTGAATAACTCACTTCTGCCTTCTAAGTTTGCTTAGGCGCAAACAGGGAATTAAACAAATCAGAATAGACTAGTCATGTTGCTTCAACAAACTCAGCAGTAAATCCTGACTAAGCAGATATAGATAAGGAAAATAGGGGCGAAGTGGCTCAAGATTGGAGCAGATACAGGATTCTGGTGGAACACTAACGCCTATAATATCATGTGCTCTCCCGCAAGGCATGGTCTGGGTTTAGTCCATTGTTTCAAGAATTTTAAGTACTCTGAACTCTTATTAAAAGAGAATATTCTCTTAATACTTAAGAGGCCAGGCCAGAGGTTGAATACTCCCTTCTCCCTACACATACTCCGGCACACCTTCAACAATATCCATATAGCTGCTGCTAGTATAAGAGAGTTTTCTTTTTCATGTCAGGACACCAAGCCATACAACAAAGACCAGTAACCACTCACACAGCTTGCTTATGTTCTGCAAGTAAATTGATCTTCTGGTCATCTTTCTCTGGTATAGGTGCTGAAACTATGATTGCTGGGGTTACTGATGTACCTCCTGTCTTGAAGTGGCTTCTGTTGTATATAGGCTTTTATAGTTTGGTTCATTGGCTCTCAGTACGTTCACTATAAAAATTGTTCCAGAATCCCTGGAACTTCTCATATGAAATATTTCTTACTGCAAGATACATATTGCAACCAGATTCAGATGAGAGAGACTTGAGTGGGAAGCAGTTTATAAGCGTTACGGTGAGATCACTAGTGAGGAGTAGATTAGGGAGAGAGTCATAAATAGCTTCTAGCATCACACCTCGCAAAAGGTCATGGAAATGGACAGTTTTCTGGGAAAAGATGAAGGTAAAGAGTTCAGTTATTGAAGTAACTCTGTGTTAAGTTGCAATTGAGAGTCTAAAGTGGGGCCTTTATGGAGTTCTTCTTGAACTCAAGTGCTGCCTTTGTAACCATCTACCAGAATTTTTCCCAATGTCTCCATCTCTTCCAGAAAGAGCCTCTTTCAAAATTCTTCCCTTGGTCTGTAGAGGCCAGTGACTAAGCAATTACTCAAATGTTTTTATTTAAAATGTCCCTTTCCTAAAAGTTAAGCTTTTGGCTTTTGCTTTCCAGTTTCTACACCTCCAAAAGCCAGCTCCTCTGTAACAGCTTCACGCCACGGATTAAGCTGGCAGGAAGGAAGGTAGGTTCGCTGCTGGGGATCTCTTTGTGCATCCTGCACAAACTGGTGTCTCCTTTGAGCACGAAACCTCAGCAGTCCTTATCTTTTCCAAAGCACCCCCAGTCCGTATTAATTCACAATTTGAGACCTAAAGGAAAGCCTACTTTCATATCATACAAAAATACTTACAATTCTTTTGGTGATAGGCATCAGAGCCCCCTTCTAGCTCTCAGTGGTGACTGACTAATGTCTGTGCTAGCTGTTGCATTCAAAGCTGTGACTCTTGGATGTATATCTGCTCTGCAAATTAAGGTGTAATAGTAGCATGGTGTAGGCCACACACAGGCCAACTTTTATTTAGCAGTGTAAACATAGTATCCTGAAACCCAGAATAGGCCAGCAACCCAAGTATGTACCCAGAGTCCCCAGCAGGCCTGTATGTTGCCAGCTATCCTTTGTGGAAGCCCTTATTGCAATATCCTTGCTGCTACTTTTACCCAGATCAGTATCCACACTGCAGTTACACCTTTGCTGTATAGATGTAACCTTGGTTTGATAGATGCGAATGTGGGGCTAGTTTTGAAGATTTGCACTTCCCAGTATAGGGCTGAAGGGTAGTCCGTAGAATTTAAAAGTGAATTGTTCTGGCTAATGTGACTTATTAGAAAGCCCCCTTTTGTCATGGGAAAATATGAGGGAAAAGAGACAAGGGAGGAATAGACAATATCTTTGGGGGTTGTGACTAGGTATGATTGCTTGATTTGAGTTAGCAAAGTGAACCCTGCAGTTTGAGAACAAGTATTAAGTCTGACACACAGTCACTCTCGAGTCCAATATCCTTAGAACATGCTGACCTGTTCTGTTTTCTTTATCACCTTTCCTATGCGTGCTCCTCCAGTTGCTGACAGAGAAAGTGAAAAACAGTCGAGACCCCTGTGAGTAATTCAGTCGTGGAACAATCCAGTTGATATAAATGGCTCACATGGCAATGACACTAGAACAAAATCACTATTGATGGGATTGAAAAGGAGATAAGTGTGAAAGGGGACAGCAAAACAAGACTTGGGTAGTCTGGGGTGCTGGTATTGGTATCTAAGTTGACTCCACGGCACATGATCAATGGGGTAGGTTCTTAGCCCTTACTACTTGTTCACGGCCGGAGGAGATAGTATCAAGTTGGTGTATGGGCCAAGCTCATGTGAAGGATGGGCCTTAACTGCCTTGCTTGAGGTCGTGGTACTGGCATTGCCAGCATGCCATCTATGCCAAATTACTAATCCCAGGATTTTCATCCTGCATTACCACCATTTTCCAGGGTGTGCGTGTGAACAGAAGGAGGAATTATTTTGTCCTCCTACATGAGGTCATTTCTCATGCTTGCACTTCCAGATTAGAGATGGTCACAACATTTCATGCATTCAGTCATTCCCTATTTGTAAGGAAGGAGTGAATAGTGGGTCTAAAATTAAGGTTCCTAGACAATTTCTTTCCCAGTTGAACTAATGGATCTGTTACAGTTGTTTGGTTCATAAAACTTTTTTATATGCAGCTCCTTACTGCATCATTTGGGACAGTTCCTTATCTCTGAATTGATAGCTGGCTGCATCTCACTTGTCCAGCAATCTTGGCGCTTAATCAGTAATTATAAATGAGACTCCAGTATTTATGTTCTGTGTCCAGCATTGGGGACTCCTAAAGAGGCTGAGAACGCGCTTCCCATTCAAGTGGATTATGATGGCTATGATGCCCAAGTGTTCAGACTGCCTGGCCCTTCCCGAGCCCAGCGATGTACTACTTTCAGGTAGGAAGCTTTTGAGCAAACTGATTCTGGTTCGTCTTCACCATTTTAGTGCATTTCCCAATGTATAAAATGCTATCGCAACTGTATCTTCTTTCCCTGTGCTCTGTCCTCTCATTTGATACCAGACAGGGTGGGTAGGGAGTATCTCTTGACAACTGAAAGTGTTAATTTCTGGAAATGAATTGAAATAGAGCTCATGGCATGCGATCACTGGGAATTCCATTGCATTTCTTCTGAGTAGGGTCTTCATCCTGATGTCCTGGCCAAATGCTTTTGTTTTGGCTAAATACATTCAATCTCCCCAAGTTTCCGGTGCAGTTTCATGGAGATGGGCCTGAAGGGGGCTACTTTAGCCTGTCATCAGTTCTATATCTTCCCTCCGGGGCTTAGAGGGCATTGTATCTGTCTAGAGACACTGCGTATGCAAAAACCTTCATATGTGGATTGATTCACTCATGTCATGAGTGGATGGAGCTCAGCTTGGAATGATGCCAGTACATTTTAAGGACGTTTATTGTTTTAAGGGAACTCTAGAACTCCAAGATGTGTAAGGCTGGGGCCTTGGTTCCTTCCAGATCCCATCATTTCCTTAGCTGCAGAATTGTGGGAGGTGCTGAGTGTGCTTCCTTTGCAGCACTGTTGCCTGCCTAGGAGATCCCTATAGTCTTTAGTATCCTGTGCTGTAGCACAACTATTTAATATGCTAGCTAGGGAAGGCAAATACGCCATTTCACTTATGTAGTCAAAGATGCACACACTTTCCCTGTACCACAGAGGCTGTCTTCAGTTATTGGTCTACAGGTTCCTGAATAAGTGGGCACGAAGGGGCAGATAGTCTTGCCAGGCCCCTGGGAAAGGCAGGAGGGGCCCTGCTCTGTGCCCCCAGAAGGGGTGGGGGCTGGTACTCATTTCTCCCAGGCAGCCCTCAGGGTTGCCTAGAGCATGCCAGAGAGCCTGGAGTATGCACCGAAGTATTGTCAGCGATTTAAAGGGACCAGAGCTCCAGCTTCCACCTCTGTAGCTGCAGCGGCAGCCAGGAGCTCCCAGCTCTTCAGAATCACTGGGTTCCCAGGCATTTGTGCCCCCCCCCCACATCAGTGGGCATGAGTGTGGAGTTGTTGGACCCTCTTAATTTCCCCAGGAAATGGGATTTCACTTGAGTGATACTGAACCTGTCTGTCCCTTAGTAGGTCTGCAAGAGAGAGAGAGAGCCGCACCAGAAAGAGCTCGAGCTCTTATGATGTGTCATCCAGCCCTTCCCTGCAGAGCCGCATCCTGCTCCCAGAGGAGGTGAGGAGCCAGGCTTCCGATGACAGCTCCCTGGGGAAGATCTCCAACATCCTGATGATCCCACGGCCTCATTTGCATCAGTATGAAGTCAGCAGCTCTTTGGGCTACACCAGCACCCGAGGTCAGACTGAGGCACGAATGGAGCTGTACTCGTTGATTGGGGGCTAGCGAGGGGGAGGTCCTGAGTTCATGTCAGTCTCTTCCAAAGCTGCACAGAGGGGGCAAGTTTCACTTCAGCATTCATGTGGCAGCTTTTTGCACACCTCTGTGCTCCTAGTTCGGAGCCGTCTCTCCTTGTTATGCATCTCCAGTTCCCGGTTTGTGTTCTTACCGCTTACCATATATAGGCATTGATCCTGAGTTACCCATTTCCCTTCTCTATTAACATCTGTTAATACATCTAGGCTGTGTCTAGACTGGCAAGCTTTTCCGCAAAATCAGTTGCTTTTGCGGAAAAACTTGCCAGCTATTTACACTGACCGCTTGAATTTCTGCAAGAACACTGACTTCCTACTTCTTGCAGAAGTGCTTCTTGCAGAAATACTATGCTGCTTCCGTTTCGGCAAAAGTCCCTTTTGCTTAAAGCTTTTGCGCAAAAGGGCCAGTGTAGACAGCTCAGATTTGTTTTGCGCAAAAAAGCTCCGATCGCGAAAATGGCCATCGGTGCTTTTTTCCAGAAAAGCGCGTCTACATTGGCCACGGACGCTTTTCCGGAAAAAGGGCTTTTCCGGTGCTTTTATCAAAAAACTTTTCCGTTAAAAGCATTTGCGGAAAATCATGGTCGTCTTGGTCCCCTTCTGGTTTTGGATCATCTGCAATATGAACATGTGCAACTCATGCTCCATTTTTCAAGCCACTTACTGATCTATGTAGCAGAATTTGCTTTCAGCAGTGAGTCCTGTGGGACCCCATTTATAACTCCGCTCCATGAGGATTTACTGTCATAACTGACTTTCTGGATCCTTCCTCCTGCCAGCTAACAGAGCTGTTTTGCTATGTTAGCACTGGGGCCTGTCCTTTTTATTACTCCTGTCCACTGATAGCATGTGGTGCCTTCTTCTAGGCCCTACTGAAAACAAGGTAAACTGCATCCTCTTGCGCCCTTGTCCAGTACTTTCAGTGCTCTTTAGAAGAAATCAGTCAGATTTTTTTAACTCTGTCTCTTCTTAATGAAGGCTGTTTACGCTTTCCTTTTCACTGAGGTCTTGCCATTTCATTTCTCTCCAGTATCTGCTCTGTGATAGGAGTCAGACATGCTGGCCTGTAACTGCCTACTATCCTATTAAAACTGACTAACACTTTTGCTGATTAAATACTCCAGTACTTTCCTTATATCAAGCAAATGTGTAAATAAAAATGCTAGTAGACCAGGTATTCCTTTACTTTTAAGGAGACCATCTGGGGGACTGGACATTAGAGGACGAGGGGGAGGGGAGGGAGGGAGAAGACTTGGTTTTTATTCTGATTTCTACCCTAGACCAAATGTGATTGTAGGCAAGTCACTTCCACAGTGAGTCTGTTTCTCCACTGAGAACTGGAGATGATACTATTTATCTTTTGTAATGAACTTTAGCATCTAGAGATGAAAAATGTTAAGAGCTAGCTACTATTATTGGTTTCTTAACAGTTCTGTGATATAGCCCGTGTGTGTGTCATAAGTTTCTCCGTCTCCTTCCCCTTCCCATTTTATGCTAAAGCTATGCCCATGAGGTACTCTGTTAGCTCTTCCATTTCTATTTTAAAGGCAGAACCTCCTAGTTCAGTCTTGTCTGGTGTACTTTCTAGATTAGTGCCACCTTCCTCCTCCAGCCTCCCTCAACAGATTCCCACTTGTCCTAGGGGCCCTTATTGTACTAACTAGTGCACACTCTTCACATGGCCCTTGTTTTTGGTCTTGTGTTAATTGAAAATTATATTTTGCAGATGTCCTTGAGAACATGCTAGAGACACAGCAGCGAGACTCCAGCGCACCAGGGAGGTTCCATGTAGGCAGTGCAGAATCCATGCTGCACATTCGTCCTGGGGGGTATACACCACAGCGGGCACTAATAAATCCCTTTGCACCATCCCGTATGCCCATGAAACTCACATCTAATAGGAGGCGCTGGATGCACACTTTTCCTGTGGGTGAGTCTATGTTACAGGGAGGTTGTTTTTGGTTTTTTTTGTCACTCATTCCTTTCCTGGGCACTTTGAGCGTTAGCATGGGAAGGGCACTGCTCCAAACTACCTGCCAAAGGTAACTTCTGGTTTCCTGAGAGAGAACGCACCACAGTGAGGACTGAGCCAAAAGCTGACACAACTCGTTGCTCTGTTGTCTCTTGGGAATGTTGTCCTCTTCTGGTGTCCTCAGTGCTTGGATACCATGGCGCAAGTTTATGGAAGATGGTGGATATGGTTGCCCAGAGTTCTCCTTTTTTATTGTCTGCAGCAGATGTGAAGTGTTGGTGGCGTTTGCTAGACAGGAGATTCTGGAGAGTCTACAACTGATCTCAACAAGTTAATTGTTATGAAGTGTACACCTTTGTGTTCCAGGTTTGGGATACAAATTCTGAACTACGCTATGCTTTGCCCTGAGTCAAGCAAAAAGATCATCCAAAAAGTGTGTCCACATGTTTTAGAAAGCAAATAAAATACTGAATATTTTCTACCTCCTGTAGATTGAGAGGACAGCATTCCGCAGGGCCATTTTAATCCTCCACTTAGCTGTGCTTCTGCTGTAGACAGAAGAAGTTGGGGACCGATTGGGGCAAAATAAAGCAAAAAAGTTTTGGGTGAAAGTGTTAAATATATATTTGCATAGGTCCATCAGGGGAAGCAATCCAGATACACCACCAAACTCGTCAGAACATGGCAGAAATGCAGGGCAATGGGCAGCAGGATCTGACACACTCCTCCGCGGAGCTGCTGGAGCTAGCCTACCATGAGGCAACTGGCAGGTAAGGCCATCGCCCAAGTAAAGGAATTGCTCTGTGTTAAAAGTAAATGTGTGTAGGGCTGGACACATTGGATAAAACCCCCCCAGAGATTCAGGAGATGCATATTTTGCAGTATCAGTGCTGTGTACATAGGGCCTTATGCCTGACAAAAATTATGGCATAAGAGCAAGCATGAAATAAGACGTATTTCCCCACGTATTTAGGTTCCTTCTTGCTGAATGTCTGAGACCCATAATCACCCAGCATATTGCCTTGGTCTCATCCTGGAAATTGCCACAGTAGATGCCCCAACCCTTCGTTAACTGCCTTACTTCTTGGTGCAGGGAAGCAGTCCCTGTCTCGAGAGCTATAACTTGCCATTCCAGAAAAGTATATTTCAAGCACAGAGAAGGATTTTGTCTACTGACCTGTTTTTTCCCCCACTTCTGAGAGTTGGTGAGAAATAAAGCCATGTTTTACAGGACAGGGAAATATGTATCAGAGGCAGCAGCCTCTGGCTGCAGGGTGCCAGAACTGATACAGAGGCAGCAGCACAGGGTGGTAGGTGGCTTCCCTGCGCTCTTCATTTAAAATTTCTCAGACCCGTGGGCTTGGACTCAGCTGTCCTGCCAGTCTGAGTTTTGAATGCAGAGCATGTGGGGGAGCAGGGGATGCAGTTAACGGGGACCATTAACTGATAAGCAGTCACTTATTGGTTAACTACAGGCAGTCCCCGGGTTACATGGATCCGACTTACATCAGATCCCTACTTACAAACGGGGTGAGGCAACCCCGCACTAGCTGCTTCCCCCCAGCAGACCAGGGAGACGCGGAGCGGCTTTTCTCAGCAGACACCTCAGCTTGAGAATAAAGGACTGAGGGAAGTGAGGAGTGGGAGAATAAAACTGAGCTCTGGAGAAATGTTTGGCTAGAGTTTCCCCTACAATATGTACCAGTTCCGACTTGCATACAAATTCAACTTAAGAACAAACCTACAGTCCCTATCTTGTACGTAACCTGGGGACTGCCTGTAGTTACCTGGGTAGCAGTTGACAGTCCCCAGAAAAAATGGCTACCTATTCTTAAAGCTTTTCTGTTTACCTACACACCTAATTCAATGCACCAAACTACTGTACTGTATATTGGGAATTTTATACAGACCTGCAGAATCAGCATGTTCTGCTCACAACTGGGGGCAATCTGCAGTAAATCATTCAGTATTTACTGTGCATAGAATGGAAGCTAGTCTAGGTTTAGTGATGGGTTTGTCTGCTGAGCTTCACAGTTGCACTCCTCACACCAACCTATATCCTTACTCACTTTTTATCTACATCTGCTAACAAGATCTTTATTTTCTGTATTCGCGTTTCTCATTTTTTTTCTTGTTACATTTTTTTAATGGTTAATATACTTCAAAATTGTCTCTAACGTAATCTCTTTCCTCAATCACTAACTTGAATGGGTCTTTTTCCTTCTAAGAATTAGTTTCTCTTATGTCTTTGTTAAAGTCCTTATTGTTCCCCCTTCATCTCGTCTGACATTAACTTTTACATTTTGCTGCTCCGTCACATCATTTCAAGCCCTAACTATGATGTACTCTCTCCTCCTTTTTTGGTTTCCTCTCCTTTTTCTATTTCTAGTACAGGGGTTTTTCACTTTCCAATTTTAAGCAGTTTTTCAGAAAGTCACACTGGTCCCTTTTCCTTGCAGTTTTCTTTTCCAAACAAGTTTTAGTCTCACCTTTGACTAATGATGTCTTTTAAATTCTCTCCTCTTCTCCCACTCATGGTGAATTTGAATGTTCGCTCTCATTATACAATGCTCACCAAGTTTTAGTTCCCAAATTTTGCTTTTTAAAAAAGAAATCTATACACACTGCATGATACTTCATAAAAAGCCTCTCCTTTTATATGTTAAATTATTATTACTAAGCTCATGCTTTCCGACTTTCACATTCTCAGTTGGTTCCTCCTTATTGAACATGAATAGGTCTATGATAGATTTGAGTGTGCTTGGAAATTCCATTTTTTTTAAAGTTGGGCCTGTGCATTCCATGGGAATCTTCTTCATCCTTTTTAGCTGTCTGTTGTCCAGTGGATGCATTAGGTAGTTTGTCATCTGTGAAATCCATCATTCTGTGAGAATACAGTACTGGTCGCTACTAGAGATCAGGTACCAAATTGTATTGACCAATTTTTGCATTGGTCCAGAATCTCCTAAGATCCCTCCAAGGTCAGTCCTGATCCCTGTGTGTTTGAATGGAGCATTGATTTCACCAACAGCTGATCTTAGACTCCAGGTTGTTATAGCATCAGAGTTTTGATTTAAACGAGTAGACCCAGCTCTGATTCATTACCAAGAAACAATACTCTCTCTCATTCTGCCAGCATTTTGTTCTCTCCAGGCACATCACTTCTCGTCATCCAGGTGACAGCATCTCCTTCCTGAATTTCAGTGGAATGGATGAGTTTACAAGCAACTTGGTCAGCAGTAATGGTTCAGGTAATAAGGTACCAGTCAACAGAGCAGGCTTGGGGATTTTAGGTAGAAGACTGGGGATATGAATCTATAGGAGGAAGCCATGTAAGCAGATAGCAGTGGCAAAATAATAGCCTGGAACCAAGAGCTACAGAGTACAGCTCTTTAATAGCTCTAAAGTAATATACAACTGTACATTGAGCCATTTATGTTCCTATCCCCTTCTATTATTTTGTTTCCACTCCTCTGGTTATATTTTTTGCACTTCCTGGTATTAAAAAAATCCATTTTTTTTATTTGTGCTTAACAAATAAGCTCTTACAGAGTTCCATTGAAAGTAAGGCAATCTGTTCCATTGAATGTATAAAAGCCCTGGTGTCCGGACATGGTGGAGGAGGGAAACAAAAATTTCTGTTTCATTGTGTGCTTTATTGAGCAGTACTATGTTGGGTGTTCTCCTTGTGATAAAGTAAAATGCATCTGAATATGTATTTTAGTAGGAGTTTCTCATTTGAAATGATTCCCTCTTTCTAATAATTCTCAGAATAAAGTCTCTGGTAATTAGTAGTGAGCTACAGCCTTTGAGATAAGTTGCAAATAGGGTTTTGCATTTTGAATAGTAGGTGCTGGGTTGCAGATCCTTTATGGCCTGGAGCCAACAAAACAGCTACACAGATTCCTAACTTTAAGCATGGCACTCCTTGTGTGTAAGATTACTAAATGTGATTAATTGCTTTTTTTTGGATTTGGGCCTGTGTGAACAATTGGATAAAAATCTATAATTAAGGAATGGACTTTTAAACACTAAATTGCAAATTATTAGGAGTGCATTTCTTCTACCGAGACCTCTGTTACTGAAGATTTCAAAAGTTCTTCTGAATCTTTTAAAGGCGGTAAAACAAATTTGCCAAATGAAGCATTTATTTTGCAGTAACCAATACTTTGAAAAGCTAGGCCATAAACACACATCTGCTATGTAGATGAAACATGATCAGTAGTAGAATTTTCCAACACTTTGAACAGAATATTTAGACTCCCTTTGCTCTCTCCTAATTTCAGATTCATTTTGAATTTTTACCTTTCAATGTATAGTTACGATTTTTGCAATTATTACACACACGTCCCCAGCACATTACAGTGGCTGAGATTATTTGCTAGCAAATTTACTGCCAGTAACACTTTTTGCACCTATAAATGTGTGGAAATCATTACCAGTTAACTAGTCACTGTAAAGTTGTTTCCTCTTCATGTCCTTCTGTGAGTTTCATTTTAACACTATTTTATTATTATTTTTTTTTTTACTTCCAAATTGATTTCTTATTTTTATTCTGGGAGTTGTTGAATTGCACTTCATATACTTGTATATAATTTGTGCCACGTGTGTGTCTACTTTCTAGCAATAAAAATGTTTTCCTTTTTCAACCATCTTGATTTTAGAAGCTTCAGCATGTTTGTAATGGCCTCTACATGTGATTCTTATGCAAAATTATGTCTGTAGCTACCATTCTTCTTAAAATTCCCTATTAGCATCTCTTCGTAACTGTACTCTCTAATAAGCTGAAGCCACTACTGAATGGCTATGACTCACATAGCCTGTTCTTCCCTTTCCTATTGCATGAATCATCTATGATTTAGAATTGATCTTTCCAACCATGATTTTTTTTTTCAGTTAATCATATCAGGGCTTCTTTCTATTGATTACAGAATAGTTCACCCAGGTTTTGCAACATATGCCTCTTTAATAAAAAACATTACACCTACTGTTTATATTGGCAGTCAGCATGTTATTTGTATTGTCCAGCAATGGCAGTTTAGAGAAAACAAGTCTTATTGCATTTTCCTAACTGGATGGCCGACTGTCATTAATGGGTTTGACGCAAGAGTATTGGCAACTTGTCCTTGCATCCTTTTCTGATTTCCTAGCATCATCGTAGAATCAAAAACCCATCTGTTGTTAAAGTAAATTGCTATATAATGTACAAGAAATCTGTTTTTTTTCTTGCATTTTCACTCATTGGCTAAAATGGCAGGCTCCAACTTTGAAAATCAGCCCCTGTCAAATATTTAGAACCAGTGCCTAGTATGCGTTCTCCACGCTACCTGAACTCTGAGTTGAGTTAATCTCAGTAGCACTATAGTTAAACACAAAGGTGTCAAATTCTGCAAACAGTTGCATTGGCATAAATCAGTAGTAACCAGGTTTAACTCAATACTAGTTTTGATCAAATCTGGCACAATGGAGAGGAAAATGTGACTCAGTCTGAAAATGCCCACAACAGTTATAATTTTTCCCTCTTGATCTTGGGCATGTTCTCTTCCCTTCCTCCTACCCCCTCCCCTTTTTTGTTAAAATAGTGTAGACAAGTACAGTTGACAAGTTGAAAAATAATGAATGAACGGTCGTATTTTCAGGAACTTGGTTTCTTCTGATATCCACAAATATTTCCCCTGAAAAGTATTTTAGCCATGGTTTGTTTTTACAGAGATACTCTATTGCAATAATTCTTAGAGGGTTATCACTTTCCAGATTTCCAGCTCAGTAAGTGCCTAGGCAGCTAGATAGAGCTATATTTAGAGCCCTGCAAATCTGGGTTCTTTATGTACATGGATATCCACATCCATGGACGTCAGTGCTGATATCCATGCACTCTTCCACAGATACAGATGCCAATACCTTTTTTGTTTGTTTGTTTTAACCCATGCAGGTCTCTAGCGATACTGGCTGAATCCAAAGAGCCAGCTTCCCCCCCCCCCCCCCCCCCACACACCACACACACTGAAGC